TGCACTTTGATAGGGTTCCCCATTAAAATAGATGCGACTGTCTGCGTCCCTTTTCTTGCGGGAACCTCTCTTTGGGTTGGGTTAGGGAAACCCAAGAAACCAACCCTTGGGCACCTGGATCAGACTCTCACAGTCGCTTTCCGCAAAAGCACATCTTGTTTGGTCGATGGGTTTGGGTTGGCGGTCTGGGGGTTAGGGGTGTTCCCATTCTACAGTAAAGGGCTCAAATCCTCGCAGGTATGCTTTGGGCAATCGTTAAAAATATTGCGATTTGGGCCCCAAGCAGCACTAGCTTCGGTCAGACCTTTTTGAAACCCCTGGCTCGGGTTTTGCTCGCAGGGGTTCAGAGGCCTTGTTTTTGCTCGCCGCACCGTTGAACCGAAGTAATCATTTTCGTGGTTTCGCGGAGCCGCTTGCTCTGTTTACTGCCCAAAACTGATCACCTTGTTGTTTCTGCGGCTCTGCAGCTCTTTTTCCACCAAAAGCCGGCCAATTGCAACAAGGCCCTGGATGTCCGCCCTGTTCGGCAAGGCGAATCGGAAAAACCTTGATGGGGTTAGCTTTCGTAGGCCATCTGGCGCAATTGGGGGGGTCGCTTCTTACACTTGTCGGAAGTGAGTTGATTTGAGTTGTTTCAACCTGCTCGTCAGCGTCATGACGCAAAAGTGCCAAGGTCCTGAGGTCCGCGATTTTGTAACAATAGTTGATGTGAGCTCGCTTTTGCCGCTTGTTCCTGGCTCTAGCAATGTTGATCATAATTTTGGGCGGCCCTGCCGCGCTATTTTCCGCTCGCCAGAGCGGACTCCTTTTTCGCGAATGTCCATGAACAGGGAAGCAAAGCATAAGTTTGTTTGACAACTTGCCAAAGTCCGAAACAAACAAGGCACTCAGCTACACGCTCCTGATATACACCCGTGCGCCCGAGCCCGGCATAGTTTCCCCTCACCTTAGTGAGGCCTCAGTAAACCTCACGAAGGATTCTTCGGGGTGTAGGGCGACCAAGAAAGACACGCCGGACCTCGGAAGGACCCACACGAACAGCTCGGAAGCCATCGACTCGGCTTCCGAGGCGCATAAGAAGCAGCAGCATTGCAGGTCATTGACCTGGAGACAGTCTGGTCTCATTCACACCCGCCTGGAGCTCCAACCAGGAACAAGAACACGTGAGCCTATTTGAGGCAGGGGATACCGAACCCAAGTGGCAAGCAACTCTGATCACAGCCACAGAATCGCAACATATAATAATAGATGAAAGTGGTTTATTTGCCCAGGGTTACCAACCACTTCCCTGCTGCACCCTGCCTGCTTAAGGTGTTGTTTCGTAGGGGATCGAGACCAATGCTTAGCGTAAGGATATCCTCAGCATGCCGTCCGTTGTCGCATGCCGTCAGCAACCGCGCAGGGGGAACCGCGGATTTCTAGAAACACCCGCTTGATTTGTAGTGGGGGGGGTTCATCATTTGTAGTAAAACCACCCCCCTCTGAATCCGCCAGGTGGATTCATCCGGGGTGGTCAACATTAATCACCGCATCGCCCCGCGAGTTGCAAGAAAATACGAATGGGAACAGAATCCAAAGGCAGAAAACAAATCACCCATATGTGGCAAGGGGATCGTCCCCTCACTTACCCGGGGGTTTGGGTGGCTCATAGTCGCAAAGTAACCACACACACACACACACAAAAAAAAAAAAAAAAAAAACATTGTGATCATGTCATGACCTAATTCAGACTTGAAGTACCTTACTTGAGCCGAATGCTCTATTTGTTTAGGCCCAACGGTCGGTGTCGAATCCATCCAATCCATTGGTTCTCCCGCTGGCCCGCTGGCCCGCTCCCGGCCTGGCGCTGGGTGTAGGGCTGCAGGGTCCCCACCATGACGCCCACCACCAGCGCGATGCCCACCGAGAAGCCCACGGATTCCAGCGAGGCGGCCTCGATCTTCCGGCGCGATCGGGCCAGACGGGCTGGAGGGGGGAGGAGTAAGAAAACCCAAGGGATGTTCGGCAAGGTGTTAACCCCAAAATGGATAGCCTCAAAAGGACCTTGAGGCTTCAGGTTCAGGCAGGTTTGAGTTTAGGTTCAGTTTGGGGCTTCGAGACAGACAGAGAGAGAGAGAGAGAGGGGTCTGTCTTTTTGAGGGTACCCCTTCTTTTGCGGTTTCAAACAAAAACAAATAGGCAAACCACAAATTTTGGGGGGTCCCAATCTAAAAAACGACACGCCCAAATGTGAGCCACGAAAAGCGCATGAGATACGAATCCAGACCATCTCTCTTGCAGTGAAGGACACCTTTGGATCCTGAGAGGCCAACCGGCCGGCTTTGGGGTTCGACTGCCTTCAGACCTCAAGGGAACTTGATTTCCACAGGTAACTCCATCAAAATGTCGGCCATCGGCATGTTACCCGTAGGAATCCTTACTATGTCTGGCTACTATCCCGGAAATTTCACGACCAGCCCTGGCAATGACAAGACACGTTGGAAGTCGGTAACTACCTGCGAAGGTTCCTGAAAATCCTGCAAAATCAGGAAACCCATGAAACCAGGCGGTTTCAAAGCTCATATTCCTTGTACAACGTTCGAACCACACCTGGAGCAGGACATGAGGGGTTGGCTGATTCTCCGAAAGGAGCCTTCGGAAGGTGTTGTCAGTGGTCATAGGGATGGGAATCTTCGTCTCCCGGCAAGTTGGCCGAATCTTCCACTCGCGTCTTCCAAGCTATCTAGCGACCCTGGGACGGCTAAAAACCACACGTTGTTCACGAAAGTGTTCCTCCAGTGCACAGTTTGGAGTACCAAACAAAAAAGAGCAGGTGGATCCCAAGAGTGCTCTTTGCAGCAAGTCACGGCCACGTTTTCTTGGGGCCGAAAAAAGAGACGTCCATGTCCTTTTGAGTTGGGGCCCTTTGCTTTTGCGGGAAGGTTCATTGCCTTACCGAAAGAGTCCCAAGCCCTGCCTGAGACAATGCCCAAGAAATCCCAACCAACCAGGCAAGCAAGCAAGCAACCAACCAACCAACAAACCAACCAACTAGCACCCACCCAGCCAACCAACCGACCAGCTAGGGCACTCCAGACCCAGACTTTAGGGCCTAGGAAGGGAATCCCAGGGCTATGGCTCAACAAGAAAGAGTTTCCCGATTCGGGACCAAAGGCTGCCTTTGATATTCCCTTTCAACCCTCACGTTTATCAACACATGACGTGTATGGAGAGAGTATCACTTTCATACAAAAAACCCTCCCACCAATTAACATATCGCCTAATAGGGGCGTGTTCCTTTTAAACGGACCCCCTGTCAGGTTCCACGTTGATTGGTGGGAGGATATATTTACTTACTTATCTACATACGTATTCATTTGCACGTGGGCATTTCTCCCCGAATGCTCAGGCACCTCTCGACTCCCACTCAACGCCGGCCAGGGCGCAGAGACCAAAGCCACGGTGGCGAGTCGCATCATGATTTCCACCCAAACGTCCTGGCACCAGACCTCGGGCCGAATCAAGGCCTTCAAGGCGATGCATCTCGAATCCATCCGTGGCCAGTGTGTGGTTTCTCCTTCTCTTTTTTTTTGCGTTTGGGGGCAATTACACGGAAATCCGAAGACGGCTTGGGGGGGCCGAATCCCCCCTATTTCGACACCAAAAAGCACCAACGGTACCATGACAATCCTTCCCGCAAATGACGCTGATGGCTGCTTCCGAGCTGCGTACTTGGTGAGAAGGTTTTTCACGCCCGCCAGGATTCCTATGCTTCGCTCACGAAATCACACGGTCAAAGCTTAATGAAAGATCTAGCGCTTAGAATATGGAATACATATATATATATATATATGTGTACATATCATTTTTGGTAGGACCCCCCCCCCCCGCCCATGTATACATCTATGTATATATATATATAGATATATATATATATATATTATCCATCTGCTTCCTTCAAACTAACAAAAGCCTTCTGAAGGCAGATTCCTACAAGTGGGGATTTTTTTGTTGAGCAGCAAGTGTCTCCGGAAATGACCCCGACTTTGGTTGCTCTTGAGTCACTGTAACTTGCCCATGACATCTCCATGGATGAACCATGGACACGGCTTTCTGGGTCCACAATCAAACCTGGTATAAACATGTCCCACCCAAAACCTGTGGTACAAGAATCAAGAAGGGTATCCGGGCCTTGACAAGGGCCCATAGACCTTTGATTAGTATGAGGGGCTTAATAGTTGGTTACATGAACTTGTTTGTCTTGCCATAAATCCATTTGGCTTTACATCCCACCCAATCCAAATTATCCAGACCCTTGTAACTGACTCAAACCCGATCATCCAAACTGTTTGCATACCAAAACCCCAAAATCAAAACCGGGTGTGCAATCCAAGCCCAACCACTGCCCAGGCTCGGTCAGAGCCTTCTACTTCCCTCAAAATGCAGCGCTCCATGAGCATCCTGGCGGCCGAGCTGTCAACAATATGGGTATGATTCAAATAGAGGGACCCCCAACACCACACCCAAACAAGGCACCCTGCCTCAAAACAACGCACCCCCGGCTACTGCTGTATGCTTCCTCCCACCAGAAAGAATCCTCTTTGAATGACCATTTCTGGGATAGGATCCCCAGGTCTGTGATAGAAGAGCAATTGGCAGTCATGATCAGCAAGCCGCTACATTGCTTCAGGCGGCTTAGTTCCCATCCCAGAAACTGTCCTTGGTGCGAGGTGCCATGTGGAAGGAAGATTACCTTATTAGGGAAAAAAGAAAACCATGGATTCAACTGGCCCGATGTCTGGGAAGTCTTCATTAAGAACCCTTTCCTTGGTCTAGGAGTTTTGATTGGGCAGCGCGGACATCGATCACCTGGATATTTGGCGTCAAAATAGGGGAACCCACAAAAAGGGTATCCTCAACAAACACACGCCCATGTCACCAACCATTTTTGAGACTGTGCTAAGTTGCAAGCATGACATTGTTCCCTGCACTTCCCTGACTTTGCCCTGTTCACCACACCCAGTGGCCCTGGAAAGGAACGGGATCCCTGGAAAGCGCGTTGATCAATTTCTGTGTTGAACCCACCAAACAAAAAGGGGCAAAGGGTGCCACTGAACAACTGGGACCAGTATGCTCGATTTTGGCATCGATTAATCCAGATCTTCACCCCTGCAAGTGAGGGGGAACAACAGTCCATGTCAAGGAAGTTGTTCTCTGATTCGCAATATTGACCCCTGAGGAATCCAACCACTCAAAAGGGGCCATGTGCCGTTGAGTGGTTTGGAATTCATCATCAACCGTCAGCATGATTGTCCTTTGTGTTGAATCCGAAGTTGGCATCAGCGAGTCACAATCGAAAGAGCGGCTGCTCCCAGGTTTGGTCACGACTGTCCCCTACTAAACTTCATTTCCCAGGTTTAAAGAAACAGAGAGAGAGAGAGAGAGAGAGGCAAGAGTCCTTATTTGTCTCACATCGAAACATCACCCTACCCAGAAACCGGTCCGTACAAGGTGTGCAACGCAGCATCCAAAAACCACTTGCGGTGTGGAGAAAACCACTTGCGGGGTGCAGTGGTGTGCAATCCCATGATACACAGATGTCTTTTTTGAGGGCAGGTACATGTATGATCAAAAGACCGCCTTACTTGAGCTTACCAGGGATGGCGACCATAAGGGTTTCTATTCAGGTAACCAGCACCATGGATAATTGGTGACCCTAAGTGTTCTACAAAAACTACCTTCCTTTCAAATGCTTACACTCTCGATCCTCAACCTGGACCCCCCTTTCTTAGAGCCCGCTTTTTGCCGGGCCCACCACATTCTGCCGGGGGGTTCCTTGAATCCGCCGCTTCCTTCGGACTGCAAGCACGTCGCGCTTCGCGTTTTGGCCTGGTGATGGCGCTGCAGCGCTGCGCGTCGGCGCTGCTCTGAATGGCCAGCATGTCGTTCAGCCGCCCCAAGGCCTCGGAAGCAGAGCGGGTCGGGTCGAACCCGAGGCTCAGGAGAGGAAGCAAGCAAAGGCTGACACAACACAATGCCCAAAAAACAAGCGGGTGTTTGTTAACATATATATATATATATATGTATACATATATATATATATGTATGTATGTGTATGTATATCATGTGTGTACATATATATATATACACACACATGTACATGTACATGTCATGTGTGTGTGTACATGTCTGTGTATGCATACCAATGTGTGTGTGTGTGTGTCTGTGAAGGTGGGGGTGGTCGTGTCAAGAGTTAAGACACCTGCAGCACCCACCCCTTGTTGGCTGATGTTCAACGTAAATCGTGATGACACCGGAGAAAAAGCTGCAAACGGACATTTGACGGAATCCAACAGATTGAAGACGCGTCCACCAAGAAAGCGGCTCCAACGTTGGCCTCACGTACCCTGCTTCCCTCTGAAAAAATTCACCTGGCCTATATCCTTGCGGGGACTGGGGTACCCTGCGAGAGTACTGAGCTGATAGGATGTAAAGGGAATTCACAAGAAGCCAATGGATACTTCGGCTTTGGTTGATTCCGTGGGGAAACGAAAGGAGTCCCTGATCTTGAGGGACGCCAATCATTGTGGCCGTCCCTGATTTTGCTGGGCGGTCCAAAATGGTTTGGGATGGAACCCGATATGGGGATGTGTTTCAAGCAGTTTGGGGGCACTCGACTGTTGAGGGGTCAAACCTAAATTCTAGGGTTCAACCCCCATTAAAAGAAAGGTTGACCCAATTTGGATGATGACAACCCTTAGGAAAACAATGGTGGTTGTATGACCCCCCATTGTTTTAATGGCGGTTTGAACCCCAGGGTTCACCAGGGACAATGCACGATTGGTACAGAAATGGCGATTCTGGCAAGAGAGGGTCGAAAAGATGCAAGACCACGATGTCCAAAAGATCCGCCACAAATTGAATCAATCATACAGGCTTCCAGGGTGATTTCTATGCAACGTTCAGAATCATGGTCAGACATGGGACGAAACAGTGCAAACTAAGCGTGCAGACACAAACATGTAAAGAGGAGCCAGGACTCGAGCAAGTGTGTGTGTGTGTGTGTGTTCCTTGCTGGGGCCTTGCTTGAGGCTGGGTACATGTTTTTAGGTTGGGTTTCAGGTTGACTAGGAATACATTTTGGGCATGCCCCACCCCCCACCCCCCAACAGCATGCCCCACACGATGAGGATGTGCGTGTGGGTGTGGTGTATGTTTTGTTGTTGAGTTTTCTTTTTATCCTGAGGATATCATGTTCACCTTGGTCGATAAGGAAACCGGCTCGGACCCCCGTTATTTTGACGGGCCATACCCATCATTCTGCCATCGGGCATTGCCTTTGAGCTCAAAGGGACTCCAGTCCACAAACATGGCACCCAGGGATCCCTTTGAAAGGAAAATGGTCCAAACCAGGACCCATTGTGAGGTTCCAATGTTTGTGGAGGGCACCCGCCCAAAGAGTTGCAACAAAAGCCCTCAAGTATGTCCTAGCCTCCAACGGGGTTTTGCGGGGACGGCCATGAGGCCTGCCCCAGGCAATGTCCTTCTAACCTACCGCAACCCACGTAAGCCGCTTTCTGCAAATAAGACTCAGGAATATTTGGTGAACCAATAAGAACTCTTACAGAAATGGGGCCACCACTGCTGAGCCTCGAATCGAAGACTTCAGGACCAAGAACTGTTGAACACTTGAAATAGAGGCTGAATTATTACACATGAATGTCCCATGAGGCGGTTTGGTTCAGTACCCGGATGTGAAGGGCCTTCTATGGCGAAATGGAGGAAAGCCAAAAAGGGGAGGGGACATTCCAAATCAAGACCAATCCAGGGTGATCTGTCCCTAAACAAAGGGTTCATGAACGGGAGTAAACATGTCGCCATGGTTGGCAAAAAGAAAAAAACTAGCAACCAGTGATTCATTGATGAGTAGATCCAACTGAAAACGCAAAGTGAAACATTCACAAGTAGATTCAACGAGCAACTGCTAGTAATCATTTTACGCTTCTTCACTAGCAACCCGCTCGTTAACCCATGTCCAATCAGACTGCAAATCCAACCTGCGACCACAAAGAATGTCTTTGCCCTCCTCGATCCTAGCAGAGCTACCCTCGGTTCCAAGGAGCAACCCAAAGTGATTCATAGTCGCCACCCAAACTTACAACTGACGGTGATTGGGGCTTCTCTTTTTGCGCAAACCCTGTTTGGTTTTAAGAGGAAAGTAGAAGGAAAACCCCAATTTTTAGTGTCCACTAAAAAAAAGACACCCCCCTTCATCCACCTCTTCACGCCATCCTTTCCCATCCGTTGATCCCATCAGCCACGGATCGGCTACCCGCCCAGAGCCGTGCACAGGGCCTGTAGACCTGGTGACCTCCACCCTTTTTTTCCAGAAGGGGTGCTCCCTGCGAAGCTCAGAAAACACTGGGAATACACCATGGTTTCGGCACATGCACTCTTATCTTTTTGGGGGGGTGGGAGGGCAAGTGGCGCCAGCGGCTGGGCCGCACTGGTTGGGATGGAAATCCAACGCATCTCTCAAAGTGAGCTTTTTGAAAGGGGCCGAAAGAGGGGCCTTGTGCTTGATCACTTGGGTTCCCATGTTTGGGAGAAGACAAGTAACTCACTCGCGTCTTGCGTCCGGGTCGCATCTTTGTTCAAGCGGGAACATTGGGTGACCTTGGTTTGAATGGTGAAGTTGGGTGGCTCGCGTCTCGCGTCCTCGTTGCTAACAACAGACTACTCCCCTTCAGACTACCATGGAACGCAGAAAACCATCCCTTTCAGAGGTAGCTCCTTTTGCGGGGGACACTTCTGCAGAACCTTCCCCTTGCTGCCAGCCGCATTGAGGGCAGGCTGGTCTTTGTCCAGCACCTCCAAAGTCCTCAGTTGAGACGATCCTCACAGCTCTCACATGCCACGCGAAGTCCTGTCGCCAGAGAACTGGTCCATGGACATGAAGTCCGTTGGGTTTTGTTCTTCATCGGTTGCTCCCCTTGCCTCCGAGGGTAGCCTGATTGGGACCCTGACGGGGGCCTCCAAATGAACCCCCAAAATCCCAGCCAGTGGTGCTCAGGGGTTCCAAGCGGTGGGTATTGGGAACGAACCGGAAGGGGAAACGAAAGCTGAACAACTGCTTTGTCCCTGCTTGGGGTGTCACTATTTCCACTTCCAAGAACATCCCAACATACGAAGTCGCCGACGCGCACTTTTCATCGAGGCGGGGTGTACCACTGGCGCATCTACCAGGTATCCACCGACGACCAGTGCCAGTGGCCATGGGAATGACGAGGGTGGCTCAAAGAAAACTTAGCACAACGAAGACCTGGAAGCATTTGGATTGAGCAAAGAAGCTCATTGTGTTTCCCAGTTTTGTCCAGGTACCAGGTTGAAACTCTAGACACCAAGGCTTGGGGTTTGCCCTACAGTGGGGGCATGCCTCAGGAGCTCTTCAAGGGTCAAAAGTGATAAAGTGTCCGCTGAGTTGGGTTGATTTGTGTGGGATCGAGCCTTGGACCCGTGAATTTGAAGGGACTTTGACATCCCACCTGGAGAAAAGTTGTGTTACCAAGCTTGATTTAACCACCTGTGTTTGGTTTCCCTTAGGAATTGGACCAAGACATGGTTGCTTAAATAGGTTTTGCCCAACACTCTCTACGTTGCGCCAAGGAGCATCCCGCCTTTCTGCATCTGCAGACGAATGTTGCCCCGGAACAAGACCTGCAAAGGGTCAAGACAAGCTTCCATTTGGTTGAGGCCCCGGGGAAAAAAAAGCAGTAGTGATACATTCCTTTTAAAACCAACAAGGGAAACAAAATGAAGGTATGTACAGGCAAAATACGCGGATGTCCACAGCGATCAACGGCAAAGCAGCTTGAGAGGTGCAATCGATTCCCCCAAGTTCTTGCGAGTTCCACAGAACATGGGCAAATGGAGGTGTTTTTGATGGTACAGTTTTCTGCTTTGGATGGTACAGTTTTCTGTTTTTGATGGTACAGCGTTCTGTTTTTTTATGCTACAGCTTTCTGTTTTTGATGGTACAGCTTTCTGTTTTTGATGGTACGGTTCTCTGTTTTTGATGGTAGTACAGTTTTCTGTTTTTGATGGTACAGCTTTCTGTTTTTTGATGGTACAGTTGTCTGTTTTTTGATGGTACAGTTTTCTGCTTTGGATGGTACAGTTTTCTGTTGTTGATGGTACAGCGTTCTGTCTTTTGATGATACAGTTTTCTCTGGTTGTTGATGGTACAGTTTTTTGCTTTGGATGGTACAGTTTTCTGCTTTTGATGGTACAGGTTTGTGTTTTTTGATGGTACCGTTTTCTGCTTTAGATGATACAGTTTTCTGGTTTTGATGGTACAGCGTTCTGTTTTTTGATGGTACAGTTTTCTGCTTTGGATGGTACCGATTTCTGCTTTGGATGGTACAGCGTTCTGTTTTGAGGGTACAGCGTTCTGTTTCTTGGTGGTACAGTTTTCTGCTTTGGATGGTACAGTTTTCTGTTTTTTCATGGTACAGCGCTCTGCTTTTTTGATGGTACAGTTTTCTGCTTTGGATGGTACAGCTTTCTGTCTTTGAAGGTGTTCTGTTTTTTGATGGTACTGCTTTCTGCTTTGGATGGTACAGTTTTCTGGTTTTGATGGTACAGCGTTCTGACTTTTGATGGTACAGTTTTCTGCATCCAAAGCAGAAAACTGTACCATCAAAAGTCAGAATGCTGTACCATCAAAAACAGAAAACTGTACCATCCAAAGCAGAAAGCTGTACCATCAAAAATCAGAACGCTGCACCATCAAAGACAAAAAGCTGTAACATCCAAAGCAGAAAACTGTACCATCAAAAAGCATATTGCTGTACCATCATAAAACGAACACTGTACAGTTTTCTGTTTTTGATGGTACAGCGTTCGTTTTTGATGGTACATCGTTCTGCTTTTTGATGGTACAGTTTTCTGCTTTGGATGGTACAGTTTTCCGTTTTTGATGGTACAGCGTTCTGTTTGTTGATGGTACAGTTTTCTGCTTTGCATGGTACAGTTTTCTGTTTTTGATGGTACAGCGTTCTGACTTTTGATGGTACAGTTTTCTGCTTTGGGTAGTACAGCTTTCTGTCTTTGACGGTACAGCGTTCTCATTTTTGATGGTACAGTTTTCTGCTTTGGATGGTACAGTTTTCTGTTTTTGATGGTACAGCGTTCTGTTTTTTGATGGTACAGTTGTCTGCTTTGGATGGACAGCGTTCTGTTTTTAATGGTACAGCGTTCTGTTTTTTGATGGTACAGTTTTCTGCTTTGGGTGGTACAGTTTTCTGTTTTTGATGGTACAGCGTTCTGACTTTTGATGGTGCAGTTTTCTGCTTTGGATGGTACAGCTTTCTGTTTCTGATGGTACAGCGTTCTGTTTTTTGATGGTACAGTTTTCTGCTTTAGATGGTACAGTTTTCTGCTTTTGATGGTACAGCGTTCTGTTTTTTGACGGTACAGTTTTCTGCTTTGGGTGGTACAGCTTTCTGTTTGTGATGGTACAGCGTTCTGTTTTTTGATGGTACAGTTTCTGCTTTGGATGGTACACATTTCTGCTTTGGATGGTACAGTTTTCTGTTTTTTGATGGTACAGTTTTCTGCTTTGGATGGTACAGTGTTCTGTCTTTGATGGTACAGTTTTCTGCTTTGGATGGTACAGCTTTCTGTTTTTGATGGTACAGCGTTCTGTTTTTTGATGGTACAGTTTTCTGCTTTGGATGGTACAGTTTTCTGTTGTTGATGGTACAGCGTTCTGTCTTTTGATGATACAGTTTTCTCTGGTTGTTGATGGTACAATTTTTTGCTTTGGATGGTACAGTTTTCTGTTTTTGATGGTACAGGTTTGTGTTTTTTGATGGTACCGTTTTCTGCTTTGGGTGGTACAGCTTTCTGTTTTTGATGGCACAGCGTTCTGTTCTTGATGGTACAGCGTTCCGTTTTTTTATGGTAAGGTTTTCTGCTTTGGATGGTTCAGCTTTCTGTTTTTGATGGTACAGCGTTCTGTTCTTTGATGGTACAGTTTTCTGCTTTGGATGGTACAGTTTTCTGTTTTGGATGGTACAGCGTTCTGTTTTTTTATGGCACAGTTTTCTGTTCTTTGATGGTACAGTTTTCTGCTTTGGGTGGTACAGTTTTCTGTTTTGAAGGCACAGTTTTCTGTTTTTGATGGTACAGCTTTCCTTTTTTTGATGGTACAGTTTTCTGCTTTGGATGGTGCAGTTTTCTGTTTTTGATGGCACAGTTTTCTGTTTTTGACGGTACAGCTTTCTGGATTTTTGATGGTACAGTTTTCTGCTTTCGACGGTACAGTTTTCTGCTTTTCATGGTACAGCGTTCTGTTTTTTGATGGTACAGTTTGATGCTTTGGATGGTACAGCTTTCTGCTTTTGATGGTACAGCGTTCTTTTCTTTGGCGGTACAGCTTTCTGCTTTGGATGGTACAGTTTTCTGTTTTTGATGGTACAGCGCTCTGCTTTTTAATGCACAGTTTTCTGTTCTTTGAT